CTGTAAGGCAGGGAGGGGAGCCATGGGGCTGAAACCAAGTCCGACAGACCAATATCTCTCCAGATGGTGCGCCAAAGGAAACAAGCCAGAGCAGGCATGTGACTCTACCATAGAGGATTTTCACGCTGGCCATTAGGGTTTGGCTGCGGTGTTTCCTGGAGTCTGTTCCAGAGTGGGTGAGGGCTTCCACAGAGCTCAGTAACTCTACCGTGAAAGAACTCCACGCTCCACTGGCAAGCTTTGGGACAACAAGCATGTCGGCTCATCCCCGGGGCCTGGGGGAATGTTGGCTTCAGCCAGGAAAGTCCTAAGAATCCACACTGAGGACAGTGACGGTGGCTTTCCCAGGCCCCCTGCTCTGGGTTTGAACAAACAAGGTTCAGAAAGAAAGAGGGGACCCAGAATGGGCAGCTACAAGCACTTATGCCTGCCTGACATGGCTCTGTGTGTCATTTTGTGTGCATGTATGGGTGTGGGTACAGGAGTACATAAAGAGGCCAGAGGTCAACGTCAGGTACTGTTCCTTAGGGACCCTCTACCTTGTGTGACACAGGGTAGGTCTCTCTGGCCAGGACCTAATCAAGCACCCCGGGGATCCACCCACCTCGGGTCACAAGCACGTAGGTAATGGGGATTGAACTCAGGTCTCCGTGTGATAACTGGCTTATTTTTCCTTGACAGGGTCTTAGCATACACTTCTGGCTGACCTGGAACTCACTAAGTAGACCAGGCTGGCCTTGGACTCACAAGAGATCCACCTGCCTCTGTCTCCTGAAGACTGGGATTAAAGGCGTGTGGCACCACACCTGGCTTGGAGTTGGCCTTCGAATGAACCTCTTGACTCCATCATCACGCCTCGTGAGAAAGGCCATTCCCCAACCGGCCCCACTCCCACCTGCCCCAGAGCTATGACCCCTTACCTTGGCGTGACCCGCGTGAGCTCATCTGAGGGGTGCAGGATGCGGCAGGTGGTGAAGGTGAACGTGGAGTTGGTCTGGGACATGCACTTCCCAGGGTAGTGCGCTAGATCAGGAGAGGAAGGAAGGAGAATAAACACATTCCTCGCATCCAAACCAACCACGCCGAAAGTTAAAATCCAGCACGGCCCTCCACAGGTGGGAGAGGCAAGAAGCTACCTTGTGAACTGGATCTGGGCGAGGAAGTCGAGACACCGATGTTCTGGACTGAAGGTGGTCCCTCAAAAATAACCATGTTTTTGAGCACTGGTCTGCAGAGCATCGAATCCCAGCTTCCGGCCCAATCCAGACAGGGTTCCTCATCAGAGTTCTTGGGCCAGTAGTGGATGCAGCTCCCAGAGGATGGGGAGGGCCAATGGGCCTTCATGGACACATCTAGTTTTCCACCTCAGGGCTCAGGTCTGCTTCCTCCAGCACTGTTTGCTGTGTATTTCTTTTCATTGGTAAGTAGGTGCCCAGCGCTCTGCCCAGAGGGAGGGGTGGAGTGGGCAGGGAGAGGAGCTGGGTACCGGGAAGCAGGGCAAGGTTCACAAAGCTCCCTTTTCTGCTCACACAAAAAAGGGCTCAGGGAAGCTGGCTCCACTACTGTCCACCTGCGATGGTCATGGGAGGAAGTGGCCTTAGCAGCCCCAACAACAACGTCAGGGACTTCCAGAACCCACTCTGGTCTGGCACGCCCATCCCTGCCCCCTACTCTGGCAGCTTCTTTCCCATGGTCTCTAGGATTCCCATCCGAGACAAAGTGCTTTCCTCTGGCTTCTCTAAGCGTTGTTGTTAGGGCAGCTGACAACCAAGGTCGGAGCAAAGCAAATCATGGGTGTGTAAGGATCGTGGGCGTGCAAGGATCATGGGCATGTAAGGATCATGGGTGTGTAAGGATCATGCACCAGAAGCCAGTGAAGGGACAGGGAGGCATCTACCAAAGACATCATGATTGTCAAGGTCATCCTAACTCATAACTTGAACATCAGGGGGAAAGAAAAAAAAAAGTATGGGGGGGTATGCATCAAAACACATGCATGATGGCGTCATGAGATGAGCGCCCGCCCCACTGCCCAGCCAGCCCTGCAGCAGCTCAGCCCCCAGAGGCCTCCTGGGAAGACTCTAGACTTCAGAGACCAAGAAACTCAAGGGCTGTGAAACTACTAGCATCTTCTGTGGCAAGTTTTCTCTTGGATTTGAAAAGGAAAAAAAAAAACAAAACTGGCTGTGTCTTAAAAGAAAACCAGAAACCAAATGAAGCAAACATAATAATAATAATAATAATAATAATAATAATAATAGGTGGAAATGGTTTGGAGACACAGACTGGAGGCAGGGGGACAAATCCAGAGAACAAAAATCACAATGATGGTTTGAGAGGGCAAATGTTGGCAGCGTGACCCAGCTCTGCGTCCACGAGGGCCCAGTGACACCTGGGTGGCAGTCAGCACCAGGACCTCAGGCAGAGCTTTAGTGGGAGGCACAGAAGGAAGCACAGCAAGTGAGACATGAAAATGCCCTTCGTGGGGACTGGAGAGACGGCTCAGCAGTTAAGAGCACTGGCTGCTCTACCAGAGGTCCTGGGTTCAACTCCCAGACCCACATGGCAGCTCACAGCTGTCTGTAGCTCCAGTCCCAGGGTACCTGACACCCTCATGCAGGCAAAACACCACCACACATAAATTTAAAAAAAAATTTAAAAAAGAAAAGAAAAAGAAAAAAAGAAATGGCCTTCGTGAAACAATGGGTTTAGCACTGGACGTGCGCAGTGGATCCTGGGCTCAGGCAACTGAGAACATGCTACAGAGCGCCAACAAAAATGGACCAAGCTATGGAGAGCAGGCAACCGAACAATCACAAGTCTTGGACAGCGACAAAGTCCAGGAATAAAAACAACAGGAGGCCTGAGAGGAGGGAGACAGAGACGGAGAGGAAACACAGGTCGTTAAGACAGTGACAGTGGGCAGCAAGGCGGGATCAAATCATACGTGTAGCCCCTTTGCACACATGGTCAGAATGTGGACCTGCCCCTCCCCACCCGCTAGGGGTGCAGTCTCCGAGAAGAACGTTTTAGAGACAGAGCTGAGCCATTGGGAGTAAAGCCCATCACATCCACAAGGGTTTGGGAGTAAGAGAAGGCTGCTAAAAATCCACGTCCCCACTCCCCAGGAGCAAGGGACAGCGCTGGAGGCCAGGAAAAACTGATTATCTGAAGAGCCAAGCCAGAGGTTCGTCCCCCCCACAATACCACTGGGATGACCCGGTGCTGGGGCTCGCGCTGTCACCATGGACTGACGGGACGCAGCTGCACCTCCCTTCCTTGGGGCACAACATAGAGACAGTGAGTTTCCCCACGTAGGGCTTTCTGGAGTCCTCCTGTTTGTCCCAGACAAGCAAAACATTGAGCCCTGATCCTTGGCTTTGGGGAGAGAACACGCTAGACATGGAAACAGGCTCGTCAGAGTCAGGGCTTGGGTTCAAAACTGGAGCTGTCAAGACCACTGCACACCAAAGCCCAACTCAACCGCAAGTTCAAATTCTGGTTTACCTCACGGGCTTCCTGTTGAGGGTACAAAGGGCGGGCTGTCTTGGGGTGACTATTCCAACTTCCCGGTGAAGTCCTTATTCGTGTCTCGGCCCGACTGAGGGCTTCGAGCGCCATGGGGGACGGACAGAGGACTGGCGTTGGCGGGTTGCAAGCACTGCCTCAGGTTACTTGCTAGCAGCTAAGGAAGCTAGGCCCTTTCAGCGGAGGATTCCTGTGCTAATTTGGGCTTTGTGCTCACCAAGATGACAGCCCACTCTGGTTACCTGACCACATTTTATACGGAAATGGATTTTCCTTTCATCTAACAATCCTAACCCTTATGTTTAGGTTGTCTCTCGCTATAGGTTTTGATGCTGATACAAGAACTGGTAAGTGCCATGCTTTGTGTAAGCCCATGGGAGGCCTGTCCCTTTCTGAATGGGGATGGAGGAGGAGTGGATGGGAAGATGGTAGATGGGAAAGGGGAGGGGACAGGAGGAGAGGACAGAGGGTAAACTGGTTGGATTGTAAGATAAATGAAAAAAAAAATGTTATTTAAATAAATAAATAAACTGGTAAGGTTTAAAATCAACTAAACCTTGGTTGTCAGAGACTACAGGTGATGGGTGTGCCACAGACAAGCACCCCCATGGCCAGCTGTGTTGGAGGGCTGGGAAAAGCTGAGGCTAGCCCGCTCTGCTCCTGCTTGCTTGTGACCTGTGTGCTTCTGCTTGGGAAGGAGGCACTGCTTGCCTACCGCTAGGACCCATGGTAGGACCATCCTGATACAGCCCTGCATCTGCACAGGGTTAGGTGGTTGGGGCGGGGGTGATGCTACATAAACCAGGGTGGCTGTTGCCCTGCAGAGTGCTGAAGCCACCCAGGGCTGCTGACTCCCATAGCTCAAAGTACTGAGAACCATGGCCAGATGCTCTGCTGAACCAGGGGCCCTGCAGGGACTTCAAGATGACTGGGACTCTGCCCGTGTGGGCAGCCACATCTGGACTATGCTTCGTTCAGCCCTTTCTTTAATCTATCCCCTGGGGAGGGCAAGCTGGGTGCACCGGAGTAGCCATTTTCCTCTCTGAACAACACCCTGGAAGCCAATGCGCACATGCAAAGGCACTAAAACCTGTTGCTGCAACCAGAGTCTTGTTGTGATACAAACCCGGGCTATGTCAGACCTTGGAGAAGGGGAAACTCTGGTCATCACTCAGCTCTGCCCTGTTTTGTTTTGAGACAGGGGCTCGTGTATCCCAGGCTGCCTGGAGCTCACCAGATAGTCTAGGATGACCCTGAACTTCCAATTCTTCTGACTCTACTACCAAGTGCTGGGATCACAGGTGTGCACCCGACCCCTGGTTTATACAGTGCTGGGGACAGAACCCAGGGCGTCTTGCGTGCTAAACAAGAGTTCTATCCTCCGAACCACATCTTCAACCCAAGATGGGTTTGTTAAAGATAGCATAAACAACTTCTAAAATGTCAACAACTTTTTTTTTCAAATGTATCTGAGAATCTTGAAAAAGGGACCCCAATTTTGCACATTTATACTCACTCTGTGGGAAGCAGGCAGCCAGGGGGAAAGAAGCAGTGAACCCCACTTTCTCCCCCCCACTCCACTTTCTTGACTTGACCATGTGGGTGTAAAGCTGCTGCCGTGGGATTTAGACCTGCATTTTCTAGAACTTTCTCCTTCTCTCTCTCTCTCTCTCTCTCTCTCTCTCTCTCTCTCTCTCTCTCGCACACACACACACACACACACACACACACACACACACACACACACACAGTGGCACCCAGGTGCCTTTCCCACCAAACAAACTTGCTGAAAGTAAAAGCTGCTGTCTTCAAAGCTGCCCGGCTGCCTGGCTTGCATCAAGCCCAAAGCACATGAGCCTGATTTTGTTTCTACAGAGGCCCAGCTGGAAACGACACTGTCCGGCCAGGATGGCAAGGCTGCCCCACCCAAGGTTCCTTCTCATGAGCTAAAAGCACTGTTTTAGAGTTCTTCCTAAGAAAGTGAACATCAGAGCAGGGATATGTTTGATGGAACAGTGTCTGTGAGAGATCATGTCTAAAGCCATGTGCCCAACTGTGACATTCATATAAACGGAACAGAGGCTGTGGCATCATTAGCCTGTGCTCTCCTCCATACAGGGACATTGCCACACTGGTTTCAAATGAGACTATGCAAAACTTGTCTTGACATACAGGCCAGTTGTGTAGCATAAGCTAGCTTTTGAATTCATAATCCTCCTGTCTCAGCCACCCGAGTGCTGGGATGACAGAAGACCCCACCTTATCAAGATAAAAATGGTTTTAAACTATTAATTGTACTTTATTGGCAAAAGCTTCTAAGCTCTTAGCTTCTGGCTTCCCTTTGTTTCCAGTTTTCTCTGCTTCTTGAAAGTTTCTTTTACACAACCCTAGTCTGGTCCTGTAGCTCTGTGAAGGCCCCTGGCTCCCAATCCATTACACCCCAGTCTGGTAGGTTTTCTGGAAGGTTCCATTGCGGAGACTGAAAAGAATCATAAGCTCTTTTTCTGATTCTATACAACTGACTCGTGAACTTAAAGATTCTATTCTCACCATAGTAAACTGCTGCCTGCTTCATCACAAAAATGTCTGAATTAGGAGATGAACCACTTCACAACATCCTGCAGAGAGGGCAGGGAGAGCTTTTCAGTGGCTGTGAGGTATCTTCTGGAGGAAAGGACAATTCTACAACATGGTAAAACTGTCGAGGGGGTAAATGCAAAACTCCCTCCAGATCTTTTTCTATCAACAAGGCCAGATCCCACGTTGCTTCTGGGGCTGATCCAAGGAGGCCAGAAAGGGTCCTTGCTGTGTGGGCGGGTTAGACAGTATGTCTCCCATTCTCCTCTGTCTGAACATTCCTGAGTGCTCATGTAGGCCCCTCCACGTGAGCGAAGCTACCAGGATGCCTCAGCAAGCCGCGCAGCAGTGCCAGTGCCCTGGAATGGAGGCACTCCCGCAGTGTGGAGGTTGGATGCAGTTGGCTTTGCTCTGTAAGCTGTAGGCAGGGACAAGCCTGCACCGACCACTTTCGAGGAATTGGCCCTTCCATCCTAAGTCACGGCTCTGCCTCCAGGTTGCAGATGACCTGTTCTCAGTTCACCGAACGCTCTTAGAAAGAGCCGAGGACGGTTTTTTTCTTAGCATGTCCTGACGTGTGGGTGTGAGCAGCACTCAAGGAGGCAGAGCCAGGGCTGGGAAAATGTTCCATCCCACGGGGGACAAGGAAGGCACTTCCCTCTGAGCCAACTGTACCGGCCTTCCCTTCCGGACCCACTGGCCATCTTTGTCATACGAGCTATGTGGACCCTCTCCTGTGGAAAGCCGAGGGACTGAGTGCATCACAGACTCGGGGAGAGGCTTTGCTCCCGGGGGCACCCGCTCTGTGGCTGCTGCAATGGCCAGACTTCTCCCTCTCTGCGGTGGGCTATTCTTTTGGTTCCTCCACTCCACAGAAACTCCCAAGCACAGCTTGGACCTGTGCTTTGGATAAGGAAGTGGCAGAAAGGCTGTGTCCTGACCTCTTTGCTTCCAGTGGTTCTGGGGCTTGAGGTGTGGGAGAACTTCTGGGGTCTGTTTAGAATGGGTGGGGTTTTCAGGGTCTACACTGAGGCCAGGATCTCGGGGCCCAACTGTGACTCATGTGCACTGTGGGGACACAGGTGGATTAGGCATGAGCCAGTCCCAGGGTACTAGCTCCATATATGCAAGTGACAGACAGATAAACCGACTTGTGACTTCATCTCTGATGTTGGTCTAATTCCACCTTTACCCACGCCCTCTGGATCCTCAGGAGAATCCATCCGAGCTTAATCTTGAAGCACATGCCACCCAGCCAGCTGCCACGTGGGCGTAATTAACCCTTTCCCTCACGCAGGTTGTCCCCAACCATAAATTAAAAGAGTACTTGGTAGGACCAGGTGATGTCTATCCTGAAAAAAAAAAAAATGTGCTCCCTATGTTAATTCAGGACATCAAACAATCATTAAAATGAAGTAAAACTATGACCTAAAGGTTTTTTTCAACCGTCCATTTTAATCTTCTAGATCATTTACAACACAACAACATGGAACCAGCCTTCTGAAGACACAGGATTAAGGAAAAGAATCAAAGGATGCTTCAAAAGACACATTAAAATTACACTAATAAAAATGTCTACTAGGTGAGTCTTGCCACTCTTCACCCCACTGGTACCAATTGTAAGGAAGACTGTCAACTGCCTTCTGCCCTCTGAGGCACACAGCAGCACTGGGAGCTCAGAGGTCAGTGCTGAGCCAGCGGGACACAGATCCCAAGACTGTGGAGCTCCAGGTCCTCCTATGGAGACCCATCAGCCTCTAACCACTGCCCCGACTGTGCATCATTTGGGGTATCCTGCCTGACTGGAGGGGTGAACAGAATCTCACACTCCCATGCCTGACAGCGGAATGATCCTGTCATCTCAGTGGAGAAAGTCATGGCTCTGCATGGCTCTGCACGCCTGCCTTCCCCGCTGCAGGGTGGCCTGCCTTCCCCTCTGCAGGGTGGCCTGCCTTCCCCGCTGCAGGGTGGCTTGCCTTCCCCTCTGCAGGGCGCTTCCAGAGAAGAAACTTCCGCAAAGAAAATAAGCTCTAGAGAATTTGCCCCTAAGCGGGGACACCATTCCTGAACTGCTTAGCTATGCTCGGGGCACACACCTGAGCTTGACCCTTCTATAGTTTCTGCTCTGTGTGTGTCTGGCTACCCTCAAATCAAGTCGCTGGGTGAATGTACTGGAAGACTCAACAAGGGGTAGAGCATTAAGCCAGAAAGGCCACTGTCACAAGAAGGACAGAGGCTGGGTCTCCAGTCCTTATAACCAAGACTCTCACCCTCTGACCTCACCCAGCTCTTGGTGCAATGATTTTATTCCTTTCTGAACAACGTCCCCCAAAACAGCTGGGGTGCATTGTTCATTTTCCAGGACGGGCACCCCAGCTCTGGGAAGGCTCTACGTGGCCTAACTCCTGTCCTCTTGCCATGGCATTAGCCAGACGCTGGTGCTGCCTGCCCTCACATGGGGCCCAGCGTGGACAACAAAGGGAGACTCGGCTGCACCTTACTGTCCTGTCCTTTGGTTTTATATTGTTGAAATAGAACCGTACTATATAGCCCAGACTGGCCTTGAACTTGAGATCCTCCTACCTCAGGTTCCTGGTAGTTGTAGTGCTTGAGTTTTAAGTACACGCCCCAGACCTAACTGTGCGGCTCTCACAGGATGGGACTCTCATTCCCCTATACCCTGCACTTGGTGAACAGACATTTTTGTGATGATGCCTCTAAAGCTGGCATTTAAAGAAAGCTGGTCTAGGCCACGCCTCCTTGACCACAGCTATCTGAGACACCACCAAAACCTTGGCTCCATCCTGCCTTGGATTTCATGGCAATGTTGTGGCTTCTACAAATCAAAATTATGAACCAGAAAGATAAATATCCTCTCTTTGCATTCAGTGGCCTGGGGATGTCATGAGGATGATGGCATTGGGGTCACTCACTTAACCCTGAGTTCTTTGTCTTCTCGGACAATGAGTTAGGAGGTCCAAGGACAAAGTAATTGGAATATACGGGTTAGCATATGGGTAACTACACAAGGCCCCAGAGGTTCTAGGAGCCCTGAGCACAAACTTCCCATTCCAGTGTAAGAGGTTTGTGGGTCACCCAGTACACCCGAGGTCATTGCTGGTACCTGGTGGTGGGACAGGGGCTGGCCAAAGCACCTAGCATCCTCTTTGTAAGAGCTGAATGACATCTCTTAGGGCGTATCTGGTTAAAGAGTATCACTAATCACTTATTTTTTTAAAAAAAATCCATTTTGAATACATGAAAGTAGCAATACCCTTCACCGAAGTTGAGCCAGGTCACAGAGCTGACAGGACCTACTTACTAGGCACCATCTAAGTAGTCCCTGGGCTTCTGTCCGAGTTTCACACAGCCCACTGCCTCTCACTATCAGCATGCCCCAAAACTGCTTGGCTTGCTCACTCTGGGACCCCTATCAGAGTCAGGGCAGGTCGGCCACGACAGAACCTGGGAGTACCTGTTCTTGGGGCACCGTACCCCACTTTTTAGCAGCCTCTCCCGCTCCCACGCAGGGCCCTGCTGGGCCCTGCACCTCCGAGATGGGCAGAGGCGCCCATCTGTCACAAAGTGGAGGGCTTGGTCTCTATTTAAAACACGGAGCCTGACGATGGGACGGTTTTTTGCTATCACCCACACAGACGAGCGGAAGCTACAGACACAGAGTTGCTACGGATGGTGCCAGGGACAGAGGAGAGCAAAGCCCAGAGCTCTGTCTCCGGTACAGGTGTCAGGTTTACAGGACTAATTGAGGTGCCCTCACCAGACCCCTCCTCCTCCTCCTCCAGGCCCGCTGGCGCTGGCGGCTGTTGCATCTCCTCTGGGGAAGCCTGAGGCTGGCTGGAGTAACTTCTGCTGCCTGAGACAGTCACACGTGCTCGGGACCTCTCACCTGAGGTCTCCGGGTGCTGAACTGGCGTGGAGGTAGCTAGGCCCGTGAGAGAAATGTGGTCACCTGTATCGTCTTCCTCAAAGTCGTTAAGGCAGTACACTTCATCCAAGTCAACGTCCAGCGTCCGGAAGCCCTTGGTGACCACACCAGGACGGGGGTCTAGGATGCCCCCAAGATGAGGTTGGGCTAATTGCTGCCAGTGGTGAAGCGTGGCTGAACCTTGTGGGGAGAAATGAAGAGAGGGGTGGAGAAGCGGAGAAGGGAGGGTTAGGATGCCAACTACAGCAAGTGCTTCCCACCCTCCCACCCGAGCTTGCATGGGACTGTGGGAGGGACCGGAGGAGAGTTGACGTGGCCCTTGTAAGTGGACAGCAGTGCTATCCCCTGCTGTACCAGGAGGGAATGCCACTAAAAAGAACCAGCGATTTCTACAGTAAAATACATGCTCCATACTGTTTCTGACGACGCCTGGTTACAGAGCGTGTTAGAGCACCCAATGGCAAACTTAGCACACTCTCACCCCTCGGACAGAAGAGGGTGAAAGTGGTCAGACAAGAGCCACAGGAAACTGCTGACAACACATGAGGACAACCATGGGCCAGGAAGCCATGGGATAGCTAACTCGGGCACAAGCCTGCAGACCGAAGCTATAAAGAAGGGACTGGAGAAGCCATGGAGGGAGGTAAGTAAGGGCAGGGATTCAAGGACAAGTAAGAAGTCGCAGAGCCCTAAAACTATGGAGCCATCCCCAAGGTGACACCAGACCCTAGGACTCAGGTGACAGCCTGTGAGGTTTGTAATAACACCAGAGAGAACGTCCCTGATGACCCCAGGTGTCCCGGGCATTCTACCAGAAGGTGTGCAAGGCCAGGAGTGTCTGGAAATCCTGGGTGCCGAGGAGCTACGTGATATCCCAGACAGAAAGGTGGCTGGGGCGGGTGAGGAGCAGCTTGGGCCTCTGTGCTTCTAAATACCTGGGTCAGGGACAACTTGTCATGGAGGTCTTAGAAGGATTCTGGAAACTGGACAATTCCAATCCCACTTAAAATGACAAAGAAAAGAAGACACCTTGAGCCCTAAGACCCTTAAGGCTCCTTCACGGCCCACACCAGTTTTAAGGATACATATTGCATCCTCCATAACAGACTCGGGACTTCTGAACAGAGTGAAAAATAACTCTCTCTATGCACAAAAGGAAGAAAACAAAGCAAAACAAGCACACAAAGAAAACGATATTCATACCTGAAAGGACTTCAGAAGTCCTTGGCTTGCAACAAAATACAAGTTAATTTTAGTGGTCACAACTGTGGGAGAAGACAGGGATGCTAGCGCCATCTAGTGGAGCTAAGCATTCCAGCGATGCTCTGGGCCCTTGCAAGCGGAAGACTGAGCTTCAAATGGCGTCTGGCGTTGAGACCCAAAAACCATTCTCAAGGCCCCAATCTGCTGAGAATCGGAAGGAAACCACTGACCATAAAGAGAAACGCGTGTTCCAGGAGCACACACGATCTGTAGGATCCCAAGCTCCAAAGAGCCACTGTTTTGTAAGTCCAGCCCATGTCAGATGTGACAGTGTGGCATGTGTATGTGTGATTTACATGCATGATGTTGACAGAGGATGGCAGGAACAGAAGCATGTCTATAGTCTATACTGTAGACTTCTTTTGTCTGTTTTTATTTCTCTGTGTAGTCTGGCTATCCTGGAACTTACTTCGTAGACCAAGCAGACCTCTAACTCAGAGGTCCACCGGCCTCTGCCTCCTAGCACTGGGGTAAGTTACATCCCATCTTTATATTGTAGTATTATCTGCAAGGTCCATTGTAAGTAGCCCTGCACGCACACATCAGAAGGGTTTTTTTGACCTAGCTACAATCTAATGGGACTTGGGAGGAACTCAAGATGCGGTGGCCGTGGTGTAAGCAAGACCTCCATTACGCAGAGAGGAAGTTGGAAGGATATCACAAGCGACAGGGAAACACCACCGCAGCGTGAAACTCGGAGACAAGGCTGACTCCGACCAGAGGGGCCAGACTAAGTATGGGATGACTGGATGCCTTAGTTTCTCCTCCCCGTATGATTTGCTGGCTGGAGATGAGATGGAAGACAGAGCTCTGGTGGGTTAACCTATTGTCTTCTCCACCATCGGCTCACTGAATAAAGACAGCTTAAGGCCTCCACTCCTGCCTCTGCTTACTGCTCCACACCAAATAAAAACTCACCGTGCTCTACATGCAAACACAGCAACGCATGCCTCAAACTCTCCAGGAAGGGTTCTCACTGTACAAATGGGGGAATGGAAGGTTCCTGAAGCTAAGTGATTTAACTGTGGTGTATGAGTCAGAACGAGGATGCTCGGCCAGGAATGTGGGCCCAGCAGGAGGGCTAGACACTCCTTCTGCCACCTGTGACAGTCCCCACCATGAAAGCCCTGCACAAGCCATCATTGTGGTCAACTCGGGCATCCCCCATGTCTGCATCCACCTTATCTGATACCGAGTGTCGGCGGCTCTACACACCCAACTCCTTGAGTTTTTAGGCCCACCCCGCTGTCTCGGTTTCACAGATCAGGATGTGAGTCTGGGGAAAGGGAGAGGTTGTGTTAAGCCGGGATTAAAACGAAGGCGTCTGGCATCCACTCCCTGAAGCTCTCAGCAGAGAGACACGGCCCCCCATGAGCCTCGTGAATCCAGCCAACAGCAAGGCCAGATGTGGCCATGACCACGGAACAGGTGCATTCAGTTCCACAGACCAGGAAGCTGTCTCAGCCTTAGCTGTGGCTTTAGTTAACAGTGGGTCTCGGAAGCGCTTTCTCTTCCTAGCTGGTTCTGAGGCTCTGGGTATTCAAAGAGCCCAGCACCTGAGCAGCAGAATGCTCACTTCTTCCTCCCCCTGCCAGGCCCCAAGCCATTCTGTAGGAATCCACCCACCTCCTGGCTCCATCGCCTGGAGATCTTTGCTTTGATACAGGGAAAGAGTTAAAAGTCACTATGAAGCTGACCTTACCCAGAGGTAAGCACAGGCTGCCTCTCCCTCTCCTGCTCCTGTATCTCAGTCTCACTCTCCAGCCTGGCTTCCTTTCCTGGTCCACAGGAAGCAGGAAAAGTATTGTGCTATCAGCTACTTTTCCTGGCTCACTTCGGCTAAGACTACCACACTCCTCCCACCCACATGAGAACAGTCTGGGCCAGGCAGGGCACAGGAGAAGGACTATGCCCACATCAGTCTTCTTAAGACAGACACTTCTCTTTCTATCTCGAATATTCTGTTCTTTACTGGCAAGATGCTTGAAATGGGAAAGGAAGAAGGAGATGGAGGACACTGACTGGCTTCTACAATGGTCCCAGACAATGGTCTCCAGGGACCTCACCCCAGGTGCCTTTATCTGGACTGCTGGGGGTCAAAGATATTCTATCGGCATCTCATTGGGCCAACGGAAACGCATGTGAGAATATGACCCCAGCGTAATGATGGGCCAGGAGTCAACAGCGTAACTGGGCCCTTTAGACCCAGGGGGCTGAATCTGGGACAGGTTGGATATTCTTGTTTGAAAGCTATCTGCCCACGGTACAGATCAGGGGGATGGCTCCAGAGGAGGCTAAGTCAACCAGCACATGACAGGGGCTGTCACTGGGAACAACTACTCTACCTCCCATCTTAGGGCAAACACAGGGATGCAAATACTGATTGTGGGGGGGAAGGAGGGAAGAACATACCAGTAGACTTCTTAACAGCTAAGAAAGAAGTCTGAGAAATACAAAAGGAAGCCAAAAGGATCTGTATCACAGGGTGTGTTACAGGCCAATGACTTTTTAATAGTAGGAAGTCAGCTTCCTGGGAAGCAGGACACCACGCGTGAAATTCATCTTACAAACGAGTGGAGTTTCTTCTTACTTTTGTCATAAAACAAAGACGCAAAGTTAGAAGAAATAAAGATGAATTGGTCAAAATAAATTCAAAATCTTATCCTGCAATACACTTGAAAAATGAACCCAAAACATATAGGTGACCCAATGAAACACAGCCTAGTATGGGAAGCAGGGAGTGATGGTCACGGTCCAGTGAACTTTGAGAGACAAAAGAAGAAAAGAAAAGAAAGGCAGAAATAAAATTGCAGAAATGGAAGGTTTTATTGAAAGAAAATCAGACATAATTGAAGGTCAGAAAACAATTACCAAGCTCACAACTGAATAAGCAATTAAAAAGGAGTGAGCCGCCCCTTCCCTGGTGGCTAGGACTGAGCCCCCGCCCCTGAAGGCTAGGAAGGATCTATTACACAACTAGTTCATAATTATTAACGTGAAAAACAAGAAGTAGCCCAGGCTCTTTCTTTGGAACTACAGGGACCGTGGCACATTGCATGGCTTTCCTAAGCGTGGCCACGGCTTGCAGGCTGCCTGTTCTGTAAGGCTGACATGCCTGTTCTGTAAGGCTGACATGCTTTATGATGATGGGATGACAATGAGAGCTGAGAAAAATGCAGATGTGCAGACATCTGACTGACATCAAAGACGTGATACGTGGCTGTAAAGCAGGTCTTCCGACTCATACGGGCTTCAGACTAAGATTTGGGGCAGCAAAACTAGTGCACACTTGGCTCCCGACAAGGCAATGGGACGCCGGAGAAAACATTTGTGATACCCAAAGCAACAAAAGGAGGAAGAAAACGATGGGGTTTCCTAGGAACTCAGTTTCTGAGTGCAGCCGCTGCACAGGGGCTTACTGGGGTCTACACAGGCGAGCCTCCATCTCTATCTCCTTCCTGCCTTCACACTGCAGAGCATAGGGGCCTGGCCCACCAGAGAATACACTTCCAGAAAGCCACAAATCGGAACACGAGAACACACACAGCACTTCCATGTGGCTGGGGGGAGGTGCTCACAACACTGGGTTTGACAGTGAACGTTCTGAGACGCCAAAGTGTTTCTTTTCTCCCCTTCCCAGACCTTTGGGTTGACCCAGAGTGAGGACAAATGGCCTCAGCAGCCATCAAGGTAAGGATACTGCACACCTGCCACTAGGCTTGGCTCCTAAGGCACTAAGGACAAAGAGAGACCTGCGGGACACCTGAGGTATTTCCAGGTGGGTTCACGCCAGGAGTGCACCATTCAAGCCACAACAGAGGCCACCTCAGAGGAACTCAAACCAGCAGCGTGGGTGGCTATCTCGAAAGAAAAACGAATAGGTGTGACAGAGGAGGCCGGCTTTCCCGTGGTGAATCAGGGCCCAGAGTGAGTCAGAGAGGAGGACAGAGAGGGGCCGTGGCCCCTGGTGGTCACCTTCGAGCGGCTTCACGATCTGCAGCTTCTCAGGCAGGTAGGAGCGACTGCTGAAGGACATGCCAGAGAAGCCCGTGAACTCAGAGAAGCGTGAGTGCGTGCCCAGGGACATGATGCTCTCGGTGGGCGTGAGGGATCCACTGTGCAGCTCGCCCTTCTCAGCCAGCTCCCGCAGCTTCCTCTCCTGCTCCTCCTCAAAGAACCTCCGCTCAGACAGGTAGTTCTCCCGGCGCAGGGACAGCCGCCTGAGTGCTGTCTCCAGGTCGTGGGAGCCAGGGGTGCCTGGGGTGCCTGGCTTCTTATTGCGCTCCTCATTCCTGGAGAAGACAGGGGCTAAGCACCTAAGGCCAGCGAAGGGCACCGAGGACACCCCATCCCAGGGCAAGGCCACTGCTTGGACAGGAGATGATCTAAGGAGGCCAGGCCAGCAGGATGAGGAGCAGACAGCTGAAGGAGCTCCTCCTGTGGGTCTGAGCTGACTTTTCTTAGAGACAGACAGATGGTTGCACCAGGACGGACTGAAAATTTGCACATAAGCAAATACGTGTTTTCATAAACATCTCCCTCCTGGTTGTTTTGGAGGACCTTTTGCAGGTGGCTATTCCTGGGCGCCAGGGGGAACTGATTCAAGGGGGCTCTCTTTGGACTCTGAGATGAAAGGCCCTGGGTTTTCAGTTCTGAGTGAAACCAGCTCTGATCTTGGGTAACCCTCTGTAAGGCTCAACTGGTCCAAAGTACCGGTTTTAGTAAGTCAGAGGGCCAGGGTGCATAGAACGGATGATGGGATGGGGGCTGGGTTCTCTTTAGGGTGAAGAGAACACTGACCATGACTAAGGAGCCCACAGCTGACGGCCCTCTTTACCCCACCTTCTGAAGCAAATCAGAGAGCCTGGGGCCTCCTCTTCCTTCCCAGTACCCAAGCTCCCAAGGGGTCACAGTGATGACTCATGGGAAATATTTGTAAGTTTCCCCTTTCAGTGTGTTATAGAAAAGCACACTTTGGGTATCAGCTTGAGATATCCCTTCAGAAAACACCAGTGCTGTAGATAAGGGGGAAAATGGGATGTGGAGAAGTCTAACCCTCACCCGCCTCTTTCTGATGGTGGCTGAGCCTCTGTTCATGGGGGCGCTCCTCTCCCCTCCCTGCAACAGAAGGAGAAAAGCCCACTGCTCACCCCAGGTCGGCTGCCTCAGTTTCCAGGAGGATGCTGTTGGTCTTGTTGTCAAGGACCACGTTGCCAACATCGCTGCCGTAGAAGCTGGAACGGGGGGTGCTGACGCAGCTGGACAGGAGGGAGTTCATGGCGGAGGACTGGTTGGAGCCAGGGATGTTCATAGGGGAAGGGGTCAGTGATCTCCGCTTGACCACTTGGTTCATGTTTCTCACGGTCTCAAAGACACGCTTCTGGTGACTGGGGAGAACATGGCAGCCATGAGCATCATGTCAGGAAGAACCTCCACAGACCTCCAAAGGAACACCTCAGGGAGCCTGAGTGGCCTGCTGTCTGAGGGCTTCTCGTGTTTCTGAGGGTGTGGGCGCCTCCATCATAGTATGGACTAGGGAGATGCACTACCCAAAGACTCTAGTATAGCTCAGCACTAGGTTCAGCCAGCCCGAATGACACTGGCTATCACAGACCCAGCCTGCCCTAGAAACAACAGTCCTGAAGTGCTGCTTCTGTCTTTGGTACACTTGCTTCTTTCCGATCTACACCTGAATGCGACCTCCACGAGGGCAGTTCTGGATCATAGACATTTGCAATGAGTATGGGTAACTATTCACATAAAAGAAAAAGCAAAACTTCAAACTAGTCTGAAGTTTCTACCTTGAGATGATAAATACCCTACAAGGCTCTTCTTAGAAACTGCCATTTCTAAGAACCTACAGTTTTATTTGAATGTGTCTCCTTTTAAGGAGCAAAGGGTGGGCACATTTCTGGACTGGCTGCTTCCTCTGAAGTGCGAGAACCGCACACAAACCAAAGTCACACAGTCTCTTATAAATTCTGCCTGAGGAGTTTGGGGAGGGAGAAAACATGGCCCCCAGATTCCTTCTAAATGGTCCAGGGAGGTCAAGCCTGAATCTGGAGTTAGGAGGGGAGCTGTAGGGGCAGAGACCCCAGGAGTTCCCAGAAGGAAACAGAAGCCTGGCTCACACCATTACCAGTGATGTTTTTCTTTCTTCAGAGTAGTGTTTTCCATTAGGGGAAAGGTAAGGTTGGCAGTGATAGGAAACACAGCACCCCCCCCCCCCGGAAACTCGTCACGTATTTTCTGTTGGTTTGCTTTGTTTTTGCAACAGGGACTCACTCACACAGGCTGTAGTTAAAGACGGCCTTGAACTTCTGAGCCTCCTCCCTCCACTTTACCATGCAGGGTTATACGGTGCTAGGGACAGAATTTGGGGCTTCATGCATGCTAGCTAAGTCCTCTACCAGCTGAGCCATAGCCCAAGCCATTATCACGAGAAAAGAGCAGAGAGAAAGACCAGCTGTTCCCTTTCCCTTAACCCGACAGGGAAGGACCACGGTTGTGGCTGGTGGTGTCTAAGGTCCACACATGTTAGGTTACAAACAGAACCAGTCCTGAGTCAGTTTGTAAAAACTTGAAATATAGAAGTCATGCATCCATACGTGATGTCTGGAGACTCCGGCTCTTCCAGCTGCAGCTCCTTACGCATAGTTCCCTCGATCTCTGCAGCCAGGGAGTCCTGGGAAAAGACGGAAGACATGAGTCGAGTGAGCAGGGCATCCATTTCTGCATGAGGTCTGAGGCCAGAGGAGCAACAAGAGAAGAAACAGGGGGTCCAGCAGTCTCCAGACTTCCTGCCACACAAGACAAAGCTATAAACGTATTCTCTATAGAGAGAATCTGCCAAGTCATGACAAAAGCAGGTCCTGAGCACCCAACACCTTATCTGTCAAGCCATGACAAAAGCAGGTCCTGAGCACCCAGCACCTTTGGGTGACAGCGAACAGCCCCTAACACTCACGTAGCTGTGTGTCTAAAGAGTCAGTCAGTTCCAGGCTCTCTTGGCCAAACCACCGAGCTAAAATGTTCTACAGTGCAGGATGGGGAACCCCTGGGGGCACAGAAAGTATGCTCAGAACAGTGGGAACAAACATAGCTTCAAACATCTCCAAGGCTTCTGAAAGGCCCTCCGTGGCCTCAGAGCCCCACGGGCCACACTAAGCTTCTGCCCTCCAGGCCACCTGGTCTGCATTCCGGTCCCTCAGGATTCTGACACCAGGAGGCCAAGGCTGCACCCCTGACCTAGTCCTAGGCAAGCACCCACCTGCCAAGGGCTCTCCGGCTCTGCTGGAGAAGGTCCCTGCCTGCATGAACTGAGTCACGTACGCTGCCACCCCTGTCTTTCTCTGGAAGCTCCTCACCCCACCAGTTGAACACAACGCCCACCTTTACCACGTGCTCAGGACACAGCCCTGCTGCTCCCAGGAAGAGTCCGTATTTCCTCTTTGTAAGACTCCCTGCCCAGTCTCCACTCCTGACCCCACTGAACCCCACCCTCTATACATGTGCACCTCAATACTTTAACGCCTACTAGGTTTCTCTGAAGACACTGCTGCCCTTTGGGGGGTGGCGTGAGCTTTAAGATCTGGAAGAGGCTGGATCTTGAGACTTCCCAGGGGACTCAGAGGGGTGACCCCACACGTGCCCCCCCAGCCCTCCAATCTGAGGAAGATTTATGAAAACAGAAGGCAAAGTTCCCCCAACAATGTTCATGGGTCCCCAGATTCTATCCGCGGATTACAGATGAAAAACTCCCACCACAAGGCAAAAGAATCATTGCTTGGTGAAACCTCCTAGTGACTGTTGGAACGGCAGAGAGCAAGAGGCAGATCTGGGAGCTCAGCTCCAGACACGCAGGCACACTGTGACCTTTAGACAGCTTTAACCGCCTTTAATGCAAGCACCGCACTGTTTCAAAACAAACACCCTGAACACCTGGGCTTGCCAAGAGCCTCAGTCTGCAAACATGGAAGCTGAGGCTCCTCTCAGATGAAGCAGAGACGCGTGTGCGCCACTCAGCTTTCCTCGAGTCATGGTTTAATTTTCTCTTCTTTATAAATCATATTTATCTGTGTGCACGTGCACACACACAGGGATACGTGGAGGTGCTCGTGTGCCATGGTATACCTGCTGCGGTCAAAAGACAGCTTTTGGGGGTGAGTTCTTCCCTTCTGCCTGGTTGAGATGGGGGTCCTCACTCCTGCCACTTCCTGTAAATGTCCAGCCCATTATCCCGTCTCCACCTCCCATCTCATAACAACGAATTCAGAAACAGGCGTACACCACCAGGTCCTGTTTTCATGTGGTTTCCGGAACCAGACTCAGCTGAGCAGGCTTGCACGGCCAGTATTAGCACATGCTGAGCCGTCTCCCCGGCCCTGGTTTTGTAAGACAGTTTTAAGCCCCCAGTCATGCTCCACTGAGTTACCCAGTAAAGCCCTTGGTTCTCTGAGCTGGACTTGGCAGAACTGTCCTCTGAGCTGGGCCTGCCCTCTCTGTCTGGGGTAAACAGAAACAGACTTCCCAGGAAAGTATTGCAGCAAGAGCTTCCTCCCTAAACCCTCTCTCGGGGAGATGGCTAAGCTAGGGTTAACCCCTGGGACCCATGTCAAGGTGGAAGAGGAGAACCTACTCCGGAGTTACCCTCTGACCTCCACACATGTACCGTATACTATGCGGCCTCTCCCACCATCACACACAAACACAATGACAATAAGTAAACATTTTAAAAATTAAAGAAAAAAAAGACTCTTCTCGCCTCAGAGAGAATTTGTTTTTCTGCCAGGCCACTGGAACAAAGCCTGAATATACAGACGTTCTCGGAGGCCTGTTCTCGAGCCATCTGTCTGTCACCCACCATGCAGGCCCTGCTGAATGATACAGCTCTACACAGCCATGCGCGAGCACGCACAGTACTGTGGGGCACAGCTAATGCGCGGCCCCACCTTCCAGACGCTACGGTCTGCTAGAAGACAGGATGGGCAAGCTTGCTTCCTTGCAAGCAGATGTCACAGGGAAACAACTGGCTAAGAGGCTCAACCCTCGTGTGACCCAGTGTCCACAGGAGGTCTAACTAGAGGCCCTTTGTCCTTCATGCTCCCTTTGCAGCCCTGAAATTGAGTAAGTCAGGACTAAAGAAATAAGAGAAGGGTTAATACACACACAAAGAACCAGGAAAAGTGCAGGCTCTTTGAGACACGGGGAAGGGGCTTCAGGGCACAACAGTAGACACAGAAATAGCAGCCATAGTTCCATCTAACTAAACCAAAGTCCCCGTAAAATTATAAAGGGCCAGTCCTAGGGAATTAGGGAAATTATCCCTTAACAGCAGGAGTAGACAGAACAGACAATAAAGGGTCAGTTCTAGGGAATTAGGAAGCCTCCAGCTGGACAGGCCCAGGTCCAAACAGGACAGACGCATGCCCAGTGGCCAGCAAGGGACACGAAGCCCCTGGCAATAGTCGAGGGCACGGGAGAACCCACTTACCATGGGGAACAGGCCCAGCGAGTGGTAGCGCCGGGACGTGGTGTTGGGCATCGTCTTGTTCCGCAGGTTCTTCAGCTCCTCCTGCGCCTCGTGAAGCATCTCCATGCACTCTGCGTATTTGTCCTCCAGCTCCCGCAACTGCAGGACAAGGCAGAGGGTGAGCACCCGGTGCGACACCCACCAGTCCCACAGCCATCTAACTGGCACCTCATGGAACCACAGCAAAGCAGGCTGGACCCACAGGCTGGCTTTTCCTCTCACCCAGGGAAGGTTTCTAGATCTCACAGTGGGCAAGCGGATAGACACTAGCCGGAAAAGGGCAAACCGGTTACCCTAGTTTCTGGCTGTATCTTTCATTTCTGTTTGATACAGGGGCTTACTGTGTAGCCTAGGCTGGCCTAAACTCATAGCAATCCTCCTGCCTCAACCACTCATGGACTGGGATTGCAGGCATGTACCACAATGCCCACATTCAAGACATATCTTTGAACAGCTCTTTACACGTGTCTGTGGTGATTTTATTCACCTACTAGGTGTCTGTCAGGAACTAGAATATGCCAAGCCCTGAGCTGGCACTGAATCCAGCCTCCTTGTGCTTATAAGACCCACCAGAGGCAGTAGGCACAGAACCCAGGTAAAACAGTACCATGCCAATTTGGTATTAAAATGTTTGCTATGAAGGGAATGGCGTAGGCCTGTTGTGGGCAATGAATATGCCTTCACTGGAACCCGAGGCCCTAAAGCATGCAGGCAGGGGCACCCACCTCTGCTGTGAGCTGCCGCTGGGCATCCTTGGCAGCGCCTAGGTGTTGGACGAGCTCTTCATTTTCCACCGCACACTAAACATGGTAAAGACAAGTCACCTCTGTCAGGACACCAGAGGAGCCCAGCTTTCCCCTCTGGTTACCTGTCAACAGCCTATCTGTGAGGGTTCGGCACCTGGTTACCTGTCAACAGCCCTGTCTGTGAGTTCGGCACCTGGTTACCTGTCCCAACAGCCCTGTCTGTGAGTTCGGCACCTGGTTACCTGTCCCAACAGCCCTGTCTGTGAGTTCGGCACCTGGTTACCTGTCCCAACAGCCCTGTCTATGAGTTCGGCACCTGTCCACAGAGGAGCGTGCCCCTGACCCTGGAGCAGAACATCGCCTTTCATATGATTTAAAAAGACACTGTCCTTATAAAATGTTTTCATTGGGGGAAGTGCACGTGAGCGTGTGTGAGCGTGTGTGTGTGTGTGTGTGTGTGTGTGTGCCTACAGTGTGGAGGTCAGGGGACAACTTATGTGGGTTGGTTTTCTCTGGTCGTCAGCTTGGCAGCAGGTCCCCTTTCATGTAATTTTGAAGGCAAAATCTTTCTTCTTTGCTTATCTACTCTCCATGGCCCAACCCCCACCTCCAGAGCTGGTCCTCTCCCCTCTCCTTTCTGTCTCTTCTTCTTTCTCTCCTCATCAGCGGCATTTCCTCTCCTCCTTCCTATCAAAGCTCCACACAGGAAACCAATCAATTAGGCAGGCACACCGTTCTCCCATGGACCACATCTGACGGGAGGAGTAAAAACTACAGCAGGCGCCACGATTTGTAAGATAGAGCCCAAGACTACACATCGAAGGCACTGCTTTATGTAGGCTACTAGTTTACAGATCAGAATGATCAGAAAGCCTCTGCTGATTGGGGCAGTGGGGTCGGCTTCGGAGCCCACTAAGCCAGGAGAACCGATGGCGTGGCTCAGGTAGGGAACCACCCTCTCCAGTAGCCACCAGCGCCATCTCAGCCTGGCCACTGTCATGAGCCAGGGACACAGAAGCCTTACAGCTTTTGCCTTCTTCTGTAGGTCCACGATCTGCGACAGCAGGTGCGTGATCTCCTCCTGCTGGCGAGCGGCATCTTCCGTCTTCTTGGCCAGCTCCTCTGAGATGCTCGCAATCTGGACGTTGGCGTCCCCTATGACAAAGGAACGATGAGCGTATGGCTGTGTTGGAAGCACACACCCAGAGCAGTGAACACACTCTTAACGGGGAGGGGTAGAGATGGGTGTGAAGGGAGTCACAGTGGGCATCTTTCCAAGTGGTGATGTGGCTCCTTTGGGCTACACGTGGGCTGGCCCTCCTAGAAGGGCTGACTCTAATGGAGGCTGTCCCCAGGGCAGGGCAGGCCGGCCCAGGAAGGGAGCTGGAAGTGGCACACACTGCACTTGGCTGGACTCCAACGTTCCACTACGAACATTTTACTATAAGTGAACAAGGACTGTGTTTCATTTCACCGAAACGCCCTTTCTCTTAGCTTACCTGGAAATTTATACCAGAGGGATGGGGAACATCACTGATTTGAATAGCAAAGCTGAGAACTCTGGCCTTCCTTCTTCCAAATCAAACCACTGATTTAGGCCTAACCTGAGCATCAATAATTCCAATATTCCGATACAAAGTTCACATTAAAATTAAATATCCTCTTCATTGTGAGCATGGCTCTCGATTCACAAATGGGGCAAAGCTTGCCACACAGGCTAGTGGGAACAGGGACGGGAGCATCTGAGAAGAGGAGAGAGGCGGGAGGGGTAGACATACTCAGCTCCTTCACACAGTCGTTCACCAGCTGCTGCTCCTTCTCCTCATAGGTGATGGTTTCCGTCTTCAGCTGACAAGCCTGTGGAAGGAAGCTCAGTCAAGGAACAGTTCACACAATCAGGATGGCAGGTGGACTGGGTCCAGGCACAGAGCTGGGTGAACCTAGTTTCTGGGATGCTCCCTTTCAATGTCTCTGCGCCTGCCACCACCGCACATCCAGGATGCCGAGGTCATGGGAATGTTCCCAAAGGAGAGACCTGAAGGCTACAGACCACCAGAGGGCGCCGCACAGAGAGGAAAGCACAAGCGCTCCCCTGCAAGGCCACCAGAGGGCGCTGCACATAAATGTGAGCACAAATGCTCCCCTGCAAAGCCAAGACATGTGTGTTGGTCTGTTTGCTGCTTGCTTGCATGTGTTCAGCAGGACAGTCAGAGCTACGTATTGAGAACTTGTCTCAAAACAAATGTGACACACACACACACACGAGAGAGAAAGAGAGAGAGACAGAGAGACAGAGACAGAGAGACAGAGAGAGAGAGAGAGCACGCATAGCTAGCTATTCACACTAGATAGTTTGCTCCGGCTGAAAACAAGGACAGAGAATGATCTAGCCGGCTATGTAAATGCTCAGTGAAGGAGTTAGCCGCAGGTGGCTCCAAGGGCTAGGGCCACAGGCAGACATGAAAATTCTGTGGGCAGACACGGGCTATCAGAAATCCACACCTGGATCAGAGTCCTTCAGCTAGCTCTTGGGAGAGAGGGGCTGGGTGCCTCGGACTGGGGCAGTCCCCTGGGCCAGATGCCAGGAGACTTCAGCTGAAAGGCATGGGCTCAGCATTCAGAGCCATGGGGTAGCAGACTAAACGGGGTGACCTCACTGGTTATCCTGCCTCGCAATTCCCATTTGTAAGAAATAAAGGGCTGGCAGTTGTGGGGTCTACAAGGCCAGGTCATGCAAAAGTTCCTTGTAAGGTTCAGACAGGGAGTTCTTTCCAGTGTGTGGAGATGGCCTGCCCCTCCAGAGGAGCTCTGGGGAGTCTGGAACCAGTTTAGGGAGGCTCACGGTTCCAACCTGACAGACAAGGGCCTGGCGGACAGGGTAGTGTCCTCTCCGGCCTGCAAACGAACCCAATGCTAAGTAAGACAAAAAGCAGCAGATCTGGTCTCCTCAGAGGTTTTAGAGGAGAAGAAGCTGAGCTTCGAGCCAGGGGCACAAATCCGGCCTTTGTCACCTACTAACCCTGGCATCTTCAAACACCCTGCAGCCTGGTGCAAATGGGATTCAGAGTAACCAGCTCTTGGCCTTGCTGTGAAGACTGACCGCATTTACAACA